CAGGAATGGTCAGAGGTGGTGTCTACGGGTTGTGCAGGATTTGACCAGTGCTGAAGATGTGAGCAGAGGTGTGGAGTGGAGATCCCAAATCACTTAGTGTTCACAAAGTTCTCTCCTATTGTTGATTTTATCTGTGCTTCTCATCATTCTGCAGAGTATCAGTCCTATTTTACAGAAGGGGAATTTAGACCATGGGCACATAGCCAAGAAGTGGCAGACCTGGGGCAGGATCCCAGGTCCCCTAACCCCCAAGTGAGGGCATTTTGCAACCCATAACACAGCAGGGCTGCACTGGGCTGAAGCACACTAGAGCTGGTTTGGTGGGGTAGTAGGGGGGTCAGAGCTCAGGAATCCCCTTTGTTTTTCTTTGAAATGGGGTCTTACTCTGTTGCCCAGGCTGGAGTGTAGTGATACAATCTCGGCTTACTGCAACCTCCACCTCCTGGATTCAAGCGATTTTCCTGCCTCAGCCTCCCGAGTAGCTGGGATTACAGGCACCCGCCACCACGCCTGGCTAATTTTTGTATTTTTAGTAGAGACGGGGTTTTACTATGTTGGCCAGATTGGTCTCGAACTTCTGACCGCAAGTGATCTACCCACCTTGGCCTCCCGAAGTGCTGGAATTACAGGCATGAGCCGCTGCACCTGGCAGGAGCACCTCTTCTGAGTGTCAGGGATGCTAAGACAAGGGAGGACAGCCCTGTAGCCCACCTGGGCATCACTATTGTTAGAAGCTCAGCAGCACCTAAGGGAGAGGAGAATAAGAAGGGAAAAGAAAGGCAGGGATGAAGTTAACACACGTCCTCCATCCCACCAGCCCTTCAGGCCTGGCCTTGCAGACACTGGAGCTGGTTCCATGGGTTGCCAGAGGAGGCCTGAGAGAGGGAAGCTGGGAGCCGGGGGCAGGGAAGCGGAGCCTATGTATATGTCAATACTTAGCAATCACTTCTGTAGGGGTTGGGGTTCATTTGGGCTGCTGGAGTTACACAGACATATTCGTACATGGATTGTGTGAAGGGCTGCTTGGGTGCCATGTGTGTGCCCCATGTGGGTGGGTGCACAGGCGTCTGTGTATATAGCACGTCAGTGGGCTTGTGTCTCCTGGGTACTGTGTCAGGCATGTGGGTGAAGGCACTGGAGTTCCTATGCGGCTTTGCTCAGCATTAAGATTGCAGAGGGATGGGGGCGGGCCTGCTCTGGGAGGAGGAGGGGAGGAATCATGTGCTCACCCACCCCCACACTGACTAAATGCCCACCCTCCAGCGTGGCAGGCTGCAGGACAGCCCTTTTTGGATGGAAGGCCCTACGCTCCAAGAGAGAGAATCCGACATTACAGAAATCGTGTTTTCCTGACTCATGCTTTGGGCTGAGAGTACATTCTTGGCTCCTGGACAGCATCCCACAGAAGAGCTGTCTACAGCGGCCCTGGCTTCCCAAGGGAGGGGCAGACCCTGGACTGGCTGCCGGAGATTTCTGGGCTCCAATTTTATCCCAATGTAAAAAGAAGGGGATTAAACTTCCTTCCTATTAACATTCTAAAATTAAAATCGAGACACTGTTGACAGTGCCCAGCACAGGGCCTGGGAGCAGCAAAATGCCCCATAAATGTCACTTCCTTCTCGTCCACTCCCTGCCTTCCCATGGACGTGCCATAAACAGACCTGATTCAAAACCCAGCTCTGACCCTGGCTTGCTGTGGGGCCCTGACCATGCCGCTTAGACTCCCTGATCCTCAGTTTCTTCCTGCTGAAAATAGGAACATTCTTCCTTACCTGAAAGGATTGAATAGGATAGTAAATGTGACCGTGCTGCTGGTTTTGTCCTAGGATCCTATGGGGTGAAGACTGAATTAATCTAGCCCCTAGGGCCAAAGAAAGCTGTTTCTACAGGACCTGGCAGAACTGGGCCCACATCTCCTCCCCGTCCCGCCCCCGTCATTAGAGGGTGCTGTGGGGGAAAGAGGGCTGGGAGTCCAGGATCCAGCCCAGCTCCACCTCTGATTTGCTGTGTGACCTTGGGTAAATTCCTGCCTTCTCTGGGCCTCTGTTTTCCTCTCTGTATAGGGTGGATGCAGTTGGACTTGATAGTTTTCTGCTTCCTGCTGCCCACACGTTTTGGGACTTAGGGACCTAGAGGATTTCCAGCCGGCCTCCATGTGCAGGGCAGCAGAGCCACTTCCTGCAGGGAAGCAAGGCACTGGAGCACTCCACAGGCGAAATGCTTGAGACCTGCTTATCAGAGTCTTCTCCCCCGCCCTCTAAAAGAGTGCTTTTTCCAGAAAGCTCTGCCTGGAATGTGGGGGAAGGGCCACAGTCAGTCTGGGCTAGGCTCAGATCTAAGAATATTGTGGCAAAGGCTCTTGACTTTTGTATGTGTGTGAGCTGATCATGGAAATTTAAAGGAGCCGTTGCCTTTCCTTCCTCAGGGAGGTTGTGCTAGGGGCACAGCAGACTCAGGCAGCCACCTCTCATCGCCTGGCAGGCAATGCTTACTGGTGCCTCTTCCATACTGTCCCCTTGCTGGGAGCTGGGGACTCAGAGTGACAAGGAAAAGGCCCTGCCCTTCCAGTCTCCAGCGACATTCACTGACAAGACAGGATGATAACAGAGGTAATGCGGCGGCATAGGCCACAGAGGAGATTAGTGGGGGTCAGGGAGTCCAGCCAAGGGCCTTCAGACCCAGCCCTTCCTAGGCCTCAGCTCCCCTGTCTGTAAAAGCAGGTCCACTCGCTCTCCTGTGACCTCCCATGATTCTGGGTCTATCTAACAGCATGAGCCTCTGTTTATCCCTCGACAAAAGGGGACCGTCACAGCACTCTCAGCCTCCCCCCTCAGGTGTTGGTGGGGCCTAAGAGAGCTAAGAAACCTAAGAGCGCAGAGGAAGGATGTCTCATTGGGATTTTGACATCTGAACCTGCGGCAAGCCCGGGCCACCCTCTCCATTCTGCAAGCACTGATGGGCACGCTTTGTTTCTGCCCTGTTCGCAGCTCACTGACCAAGTCACAAGGAAACCTGAGGGCCAATGTAGGGGTGGGGAGCCGAGAGTGGGGTCTGGCCTGGGACTTAGGAGACCTCCTTGGATAAACAAGGATTTATCTTTTCTTTTTCTGTTTCTTTTTTTTGAGATGGAGTTTTCCCTCTTGTTGCCCAGACTGGAGTGCAATGGCACGATCTCGGCTCACAGCAACCTCCACCTCCCAGGTTCAAGTCATTCTCCTGCCTCAGCCTCCCAAGTAGCTGTGACTACAGGCATGCGCCATCACATCTGGCAAATTTTTTGTATTTTTAGTAGAGACGGGGTTTCTCCATGTTGGTCAGGCTGATCTTGAACTCCTGACCTCCGGTGATCCACCCGCCTTGGCCTCCCAAAGTACTGGGTTTACAGGCATGGCCACTGTGCCTGGCCTAGGATTTATCTTTAAAAGCAATATACAGTTGAGGCAGGAGGAAGCACAAGAGAACCATGACAGGCACCTCAAAGAGATGGACACTATGCCAAGGCTGGGAGGTTTTGTTAATAATCAGACCTGTCCTGAAAAAGAATGAGGGGCTGCCTCTGAAGGAGGTAAACTCTCTCTTCTTAGAGGTGCTTGGGTGCTTGCCATTTTGGGATACTGAAGAGAGGGCTTCTGCCTGGGGCTGCAGACAGGAATCTCTGACCTCTGAGATGCCTTGCAGCTCTGAATCTTTAATACATTTATTCCAGAATCCTTCAACTCTGAGATTTTAACATGTTAAGAATCCTTAGCTGGATTCAGAGACTCCATGGGGGCTTTCAGTGGAAGTGATCTCTGATTCTTTTACCTTGAATCACAGAGTCTGAAGCTTTTGGGATCTGAGATTTCCCACAGTTCTTGTACTCAAAAGACTCTGAGCAGCAGCAGCCTACCCAGACAGAGAGGTCTGTCACATCCACCAGGCTTCCCCACAGGCACTAACGGAGGGCAGGGACTGAGGTGACTGACTCATTTGCTGGGTGCTGGGATTTTTTCCTCTCCAGGATCCAGGGATGCACCTAGAAGAAAGAAGATGCTCCACACAGTTTGTTGAATGAATGAATGAAGTGTCCCTATCCTGTCCCTTCCTCTCCATACTGTCTCCATCCAAGATCTATCATTAAACTACTAAAGAGGACTGGGTGTGGGGGGGTTCCTAAATAATCTGCCTCACTGAGTTCCCTACTAACCCACACATACCCCTCAGATGGACATCGCACGGGGCTAGGACTCAGGTATCAGCTGTGTCCTCAGCACCCAGAACAGTAATGAATACTCTAGCTTAACTCAGAGGTCAAGCGGCTATCAGTATGCAAGGGTGGGGTAGGAATTGACAGTGAGACCTGAGGCCTGTGGGAGGGGTTGCAATAGGGAGAGGGCCAAGATGACAGGGATTGAGAAAGAGAGAGAGAGGGGGGAAAATAGTAAAGGATGACTTAGCACCACATTTCACAGCCAAGGGAACAGAGGCCCAGAAAGGGAAAGTAACCTGCTTAGGGTCACACAGCACCTTGCTCAGTGGAGCCAGGTTTTTCTTCCTGTGCACCCCTGCAAGCCCAGCCAGACCACCTGACGTTCCCTAGGCTTCTCTGCCTCTATTACTCCAAGATTTGAACTTTCCCAGTGCCGGGCAGGGACCGGGGCTGGTCTGCTCCCTCTCCCTCCGGCCATCGCTGAGGTTGACATTTTTTTGGATGAACAAGCATGGAGAAAGGGCGCTGCCTTCCGAAGCCTGACAATCTCCCCTGAGAGGGAGAAGGGTGCACCCCGAACTCAATTATGTTTCACCTTGAAAATCGGGGAGAGTGGGGAGAAGGGGCGATGGCTTTGCTCGGGGAAAAGTCCCTGCGGGGAAAGGGGCGCCTGAAGGAATGTGCGATCAGGAGTGGGCTGGCTCGTGCAGAGAGCCTGGGGGGTGGTAGGAGACTCGTACTCCGAAGGACACGCTGGTCCCGGTGGGGACTCCCGGGGCCCCGCAGCCAGGGCCGCCGAGGTGGGCAGTAGGACCCAGGGGCCGGGAGACGCCGGCAGAGGGAGGGGCCGGGGGCCGGGGAGGTTTGGGGGAGGTCTTTGGCTTTTTTTGACGGAGCTGGGGCGCCCTCCGGAAGCGTTTCCAACTTTCCAGAAGTTTCTCGGGACTGGCCGGAGGGGGTGGGGACTGCCATATATAGATACCGGGAGCGGGGGAGTGGGCGAAGAGTAGAATCGTGTCGCCGCTCGAGAGCGAGAGTCCAGTCCCGGCGCCCGCCCAGCCCGACCCAGGTGAGGGGCGGGGAACGACCGCGTGCGGCCTGCGGGAGCGCCGAGCAATCCGGGGGTGCGCAAGGGAGTGAGAGGGGCGAGGGCACCCTGCCAGGGGTTGGGGCCCAAGCCAGAGCCTGCAAACTGGAGTTCCCGGCACTTTGGGGGCCGCTGGAGGGTTTGGAATCGGGAGCCCAGGGCTGGCTGGTGATGGAATCAGCTGAGGGTTAGGGCAGAGGTCCGAGCCAGGGTGGGAGCCCGTGCACTCGGAGGATTGGGGAAAAGCGCAGGGACCCTTAGAAGTTAGTGGTGGCAGAGACCTTTAGTAGGTGTAAAGGGGGCTGGGGGCTGAGAGCACAGCCTCTGCGGAAGCAAACGCAGGAGGAAGGAGATGGAGTCTGGTGCCTCTTCCATCAGGGACAGGGAGGACAGGCCGGCCTTGCAGTTCCAGGTCCCTTCCCTTCTGGGGTTGAGACCCAGGGGCAGCAGTGATTAGTGGCCCAGCCTCCTCACAGGCTTGCTGAGGGCATCTCAGCCTCCTGAAGGTAGTAGGGTGGTGGGAAAAGAGGTGAAATCGTCTTGACTCTCGGGGTCCATGTCCTCTGATAGAAGTGGGCGACAGTGGCTCAATTTCTGATCAGCAGCTTGCAGCCTAGATGATGGCAGCCAAAAGGAAAGACTTGGCCAGCGAGGCTCCCTCCCCTCGGAAAAAGGGAGTGGGGGTCATTAGGGTCTGCTCAGCTCTGGGGATTAAGGGGCTGACTAGGAGGATTTGAGTCTCTCTTGCTCACTGCCACTGGGTTCTTGGAGTAACTGAAGGGTTTAAACTGCAGGATCTCACTTCCAGAGGCTGTGGCTCCCTGCCCCCCAGCTTAGAGACATTCCTGAGGTGGCTGGAGAGGAGGAAGGAGAATGAATGCACTTCCAGACTGGCCGAGAGTCCCAGCCCCTCCTCTTCCTGGTTCCCGGCTGGTCCCTCTGGGCTGCTGGGCCGGGATGGAGGCCTGGGGGAAAATGAGGGGGCTTTGGTTCAATGAAATTCTAGTCGGGGCCACACCCTCCTGCCTTCAGATGGTTTATGTACCCATCCCCCTTCCTGTCCCCTCCTTTGTCTCCTCTGTCACCGGGATTCCCAGCAGAGATTTTTTTTGTACTGGCTGTGTAACAGGACACCGATGCAGCCCTCAGGAGGGCCTCCGTGTGCTTCTGAGAGGAGGGAGCCCTGTGCTAGGAAGGCAGACCCCTGTTTATCCTGAGGGACCTGGGGTGGCCCCCTGCCCTGGTCTCAGTTTCTCCCATTGAACAGTGAGGTGATCGATCTCCAGGGTCCCTCGGGAACTGGTTGTTCCCTCTGCATCAGGGGCCTCCTCACCCCCTCTCCTCTGCCGGCTCCCATCCTCCTCACTCTTCTGTTTTTTTTCAGAATGAAAAAGGCAGGCATTGACCTCCCTCTGAGGCAGTTTCCAGGTACTTTAGACCCCTCAAGTTTTTGATACCCTCTGATGGCCCCCGTCATCTCCTCCCCTGCCCTTCCAGACCCTGCTCAGTCTGGCTAGCTGCGGGTGGCACCCTGGCTAGGCAATCTTGTATTTTCTTTGTGGGACTCAGCTAACCTTGGCCCGAGGGCTGGCATTTCTCTGTGGCAAGATGGGCTGGGCTGTGGGAGGCTGGGCTGCTTGCAGTAACTTGCCTTCCTCCGTTCCTGCTGCCGGGTTTAACGGGGCCACCCTTCTCCCCAGCGGGCATCTCCCTTCAGGGATCCATGTGCAGATGGGAAAGGAACTAAGGCCAAAGAAGGCTCCTGGAGTTCCCTGGCTAATGCGTGGCACCCCTGGGACCTGAACCAGGCCTGCTTCCCAGGCTGGAAGCCCCCCTCTGCAGGCCGGTGGAGATAGTTCAGCCTCCTGCCTGCCACGTCACCACCAGAAGCTGGCGCTAAGCTGCTGCGGGCCTAGCCTAGTGGGCTGCCTGAAGAATCCCAAACCAGTTATTTGGAGCTTGCTTGGAAGCCCCTCCCAGTCCTTTGAGGTTCTGGCTGGTGGGGGGGGTGGCTGTCAAGATGGTACCTGCCACGTGGCATGGCTGAGGGTGGGCTCTTCAGCTGCCTCCTCGGGGAAGGGAGGCTGGCGGCCTGTGCCGTGGTCTGAGCCCCAGCATCGCTGGTCTGGATCAGAGGTGGCTTTTGAGTACGGTGGCCATATGCCTATTGTCCTGGCAGAATAATTAGTAGTCCCCATTTTACTCTCATAAGTGTCGTTGTTTGTGCAATAAATTATATGGTCGTACTGCCTTGGAGGCTCCAGTTCTGGCTGGGAAGGAGGCAGGGCTGGGAGAAAGGTGTCCTGGGGTGTATTCTAGGCCCCAAGATCCTCCCTTCATTTTATCACGAGACTCAGATTTCCCACTTCCTTCCAGGCATTTGTAGATCTCTGGGCCTTCCCTCCTCTCCCCACCTTGGGCCCTTTGCTTCTCTTGTACTGCACCTTCAAAGCTCTGAGGAGGGTGGCAGTCCCGGGAAATGGGGGAACCTGTTCAGGTTTTTGGGATGGCAACAGTAGAATCTTCACAGAAATCCAGTGCAGCCAGAGTCCTGAGGGTCTTCCACCAGGATCTCAAAAGCTCAGTCTTCTTCAAGGATGACCACGAGTCGGAATCCATCAGAGCAGTGGGATCGCAGCCTCCACCAGGGGTCCTTCCAACCTTCCCTTTGCCCTGTCATCTCTCCTGTGCGTTGACGTAGAGGGGGATAATGGCCTGAAGCGAGAGAGGGAGTGTGGAAGTATCCCAGGAACAGAGACTGTCCCAATTGGAGGCCCCAGAGAGGGGACTGGGGCTTGTCCTGGGGGCCACTGCTACTGCTGGAGCTTGGGGAGAAGGCCTGAGGGCAACCCTGACTCAGTGGAGCAGGGGGCCTGTGTGGCTGTGGCTGTCAGATGGGAGAGCCGACTGGAGTCTGACGTGGCTTCAGCTTCCTTGGAGGCTGAGTGTACATCTGGCCAGCTTCTGGTGATGGGGTAGGGGGTCATTGCTCTATTGAGCTGTGTGTGACTCACCCCCTTCCCTAGTATCCTGTCCTTGTGCTATGTCAGGAAGCCTCCTCTCCACCCCGAGTCTTCAAAGGAGTCAGTTTCCCAGGAGCTTCTGTCCTGGGGATTTCCCATCCGCACTTGGGACACTGTGGGCAGATGGGCATGCCAAGCTTCTGCCCAGATAGAGGCCTTGGGCATGGAGACCTGGACCCTTCAGCTTGGAAAAGGGAGACTGAGGCCCAGTGGACACAGGACACATGCCTTCTCAAGGTTACCCTTGGGGCAGCAGAGCAGAGTGTCTGAGCTCTCCATTTAATGAGTGAACCAACCGGTGACTCATTAACATCCCAGAACAGAATGAAAGGCATGGGGGCGGGACAGCCCTCCAGCTCTGTCCCTCATTCCTTGCCCAGGCATCTGGGCTTCCTAGCTGCTGCCTTTTCTTACTGGAAAAGGGCCCCTAGGGTCATATGAGATCAGGGCTGACCTGATGAGGATCCCAGGTCTGGCCAAGTGACCCTGTTTTAGCTTCATTCAGGAAGAGCTGAGGCCACTGTGTGCTAGGCACGGGGGATATAGTGGCAATCAGATTGGCTAGATTTTCTGTCCTTCTGGAGGCCACAGCCTACTTAGGGGCAGAAATAGATATGTAATAAACACACAAAGTGGAAATGTTGGCTGGCTGGTGCAGGAAATCGATAAGGTGGTCTGGTGGTCACTGGCTGGGAGCCCTCCTTTGGGTGGGGACATCACAGAGGTCTCTGAGAGGCTGGCAGCCCTGAGAGGCTGGCAGCCCGGAGTGAGGTATGGGATTACTGGACTGTGGGCTCTCTTGCCCCCATCTCCAGGGTACTTGTGGCAGGCAGAGGGCTGGGGGTGGTTGTTGGGGAGGAAGGCCATGGGCTTCAAGGCCACCCTGTCTGTGCAGCCCTCACAGGTCCACCTTGGTGCACGCAAACCACCTCCCAGCCATGCGCTCCCTCCTGCTTCTCAGCGCTTTTTGCCTCCTGGCGGTGGCCCTGGCAGCCGAGGTGAAGAAACCTGCAGCTGCAGCAGCTCCTGGCACCACCGAGAGGCTGAGCCCCAAGGCGGCCACACTGGCTGAGCGCAGCGCCGGCCTGGCCTTCAGCCTGTACCAGGCCATGGCCAAGGACCAGGCGGTAGAGAACATCTTGGTGTCGCCGGTGGTGGTGGCATCGTCGCTGGGGCTCGTGTCGCTGGGTGGCAAGGCAACCACGGCGTCGCAGGCCAAGGCAGTGCTGAGCGCTGAGCAGCTGCGCGATGAGGAGGTGCACGCCGGCCTGGGCGAGCTGCTGCGCTCACTCAGCAACTCCACGGCGCGCAACGTGACCTGGAAGCTGGGCAGCCGCCTGTACGGACCCAGCTCAGTGAGCTTCGCTGATGACTTCGTGCGCAGCAGCAAGCAGCACTACAACTGCGAGCACTCCAAGATCAACTTCCGGGACAAGCGCAGCGCGCTGCAGTCCATCAACGAGTGGGCCGCGCAGACCACCGACGGCAAGCTGCCTGAGGTCACCAAGGACGTGGAGCGCACGGACGGCGCCCTGCTCGTCAACGCCATGTTCTTCAAGCGTGAGTCGGGGCCGCGCTCAGGGGTCCTCCTCCCCCTCTTCCTCCCAGGACCCCCATGCAAGACTTAGGACAGCATTCTGTGCACTCCATCCTTCACTGCCTCTCATTTATGCTGTAACGACCCAGGGAGTAGGACTGTCACTCAGCTTTTGGTACAGACTGGAAACTAGATTCAGAGACAGGTAGCAGAGTCTAAAGGAATGATTCAGGGAACCGAGACCCCAGAGGGACTCCGTGGAATGTATTTCGACCAAATTTCGTCCAAGTGCTCGTCCTTGTATATCTTGGAATGAATAAAATTTTGTAACCCATTTAGCCTCAGTAGTGAGCTAGAGAAAGAACTTGAATTCTTTTTTATTTTTTATTTTTTGTGTTTATTTATTTATTTTTTTGAGACAGAGTTTCGCTGTTGTTGCCCAGACTGGAGTGCAATGGCACGATCTCGGCTCACCGCAACCTCCGCCTCCTGGGTTCAAGCAATTCTCCTGCCTCAGCCTCCCGAGTAGCTGGGACTACAGGCACGCACCATCATGCCCAGCTAATTTTTGTATTTTTAGTAGAGACAAGGTTTCACCTTGTTAACCAGGATGGTCTCGATCTCTTGACCTCGTGATCCACCCGCCTCGGCCTTCCAAAGAGCTGGGATTATAGACGTGAGCCACTGCGCCCGGCCTTGAATTCTTTTTTAAAAAATTATTTGTATTTTGAGATGGAGCCACTCTCACCCAGGATGGAGTGCAGTGGCACAATCATGGCCCACTGCAGCCTTGGACTCCCGAGTTCAAGCAATTCTCCTGCCTCAGCCTCCTGAGTAGCTGGGATTATAGGTGCCTACCACCATGCCCAGCTAATTTTTGTATTTTTAGTGGAGACAGAGTTTTGCCACATTGCCCAGGCTGGTCTCAAACTCCTGGCCTCAAGTGATCTGCCGGCCTCGGCCTCCCAAAGCCCCGGAATTACAGCCGTGAGCCACCGTGCCCAGCCAAGACCCAGAATCCTTAAAGCAACCTTGGGGACAGGCAGTGTCCTCATTTCACAGTGAGGAAACTGAGGCCCAGAGAGGAGGAAGCAGATCCAGGCCTCAGGCCCAGATGCCTCTGTCTTCAGTTGAAGACTAGATTGGGGTTAATCCATATTTTTGAGTACCTACATAGACAGACAGTACTATTTTCACAGTTTGCTGTGAGGATGAAGTAACCCTGGTTTTACAAATGAGACCAAACTAGGAGAGGTGAGGTCTCCCAGAGTCAGTGGCTGAGCTTGGACTGGAACACGGGTCTGACTGTGAGCAAGGCAGCATTCAGGCCACTCTCAGGCATTTTTTGTTGTTATTTTCTGGTCATGGAGACAGAACTTGCAGAAAAAAATGAAGAGTGGGCTGAGCTTAGTGGCTTACACTTGTAATCCTAGCACTTTGGGAGGCCAAGGAGGGTGAATCACATGAGTGCAGGAATTCAAGGCCTGCCTGGGTAAGATGGCGAAACCCCATCTCTACAAAAAATTAGCCAGGTGTGGTGGCACATGCTGGTAGTCCCAGCTACTCTGGAGGCTGAGGTAGGAGGATCGTTGGAGCCTGGTAATTCAAGGCTGCGGTGCGTCATGATTGCACCACTGCACTCCAGCTGGGGGACGGAATGGGACCTTGTCTCAAAAAGAAAAAAAAAATGACGGGTAGTTACGGGGCACTTCCTGCCCAGGGCACAACTGTCCCTCAGGTACCAGGCAGGGAAGAAAGCCCAGCTCAGGGCATGTTTCCAAAATATCTGACAATTGCCAGAGCTAGGGGTGGCCATAGAGGTGACTGAGCTAGGGTGGAATTAATTCTCTGCCACGTGGGAGCAGCCAGGCAGTGACTGTAGGGAGCCACGTCCTCAGATGGCATGTCCTGGGGCCAAGATCCTTCCCAAAGCTAGGAACGTGGACTCTGTGGGCTAGGTACTCAGGGGGAGGGGGGCTACAGCTGGGCCCAAAAGAATGGAGCAAAGACCTGTGGCAGGGATAAATCAAGGGTCTGCACCTGGGGTGGCTGTGGGCTGTGATTGTGTCTGGGGGCGGCCATGTGTCTCTGACCCTGTGTTCTGCCCCAACTACAGCACACTGGGATGAGAAATTCCATCACAAGATGGTGGACAACCGTGGCTTCATGGTGACTCGTTCCTATACTGTGGGTGTCATGATGATGCACCGAACAGGTAGGTGTTGGGAGGAGCAGGGTGTCAAGGTGGGTGGGGGTCCAAGGGTACTTGGGGTCTGACTCACCCCTGCACACAGGGTGCCCAGTGTCCTCTCCGCTCCTTTCCCAGGCCTCTATAACTACTATGATGACGAGAAGGAAAAGCTGCAGATCGTGGAGATGCCCCTGGCCCACAAGCTCTCCAGCCTCATCATCCTCATGCCCCACCATGTGGAGCCCCTCGAGCGCCTTGAAAAGCTGCTAACCAAAGAACAGCTGAAGATCTGGATGGGGAAGATGCAGAAGAAGGCTGTTGCCATCTCCCTGCCCAAGGGTGTAGTGGAGGTGACCCATGACCTGCAGGTAAGGGGTGGCCCAGCCCTGGGGCCTGCAGGGCTTGGAGCCAGGGGGAGATCCCACTCACCAATTCAGCAGGTCTGTCCCGAGCCTCCCTGGATGTCCAGGCAGTGCTGGGCTCTGTGACGGGATAAGCTGGGGCAGGAGGTGTGGGCCCTGCCCTTGGGAAGATGATGATAATACCAGCAGCTAAATATAACGGAACACTTCCTGTAGGCTAGGTGTTCTTCTAAGCACTTTACATGTATTAAATTCTATTAATCCTCAAAACAACTTTATTAGATGGGACTATAAATTTGATCTTAGAGATGAGGAAACTGAGGCTCAGAAAGGTTAAGTAGCCTGTGCAAAGTCACACAGCTAGTAATTCAGACATCTTGCACCAGAGCTAACCCTCGGTCACTGCACTGCCTCTGAGGTCTGAAGTGCCCCCTGTTACAGGTTGTCCAAGCCGGAAGATTATCTACCATGCAATAATAAGACTGGTAGCTGTGGGTCTTCTAAGGTGGTCAGAAACTTAACACACATGCTCGAGATTCTCCCTCGCAACTACCCTGGGTGGTGGGCAGAGGCTCACAGAGAAACAGTAAGTAACTCCCTAAGGTTCCCCAGGCCCATAAGTGGCGGAGGTGCAATTAGACCTCAAGGTAAAAACATAATAGTGGCCTTTTTTGTCAATCAAGAGAGAGAGATTTTTTACTTATTCAAAACAGGAAACTTTTGTGTCCTTCTTTCCTTGGATGCCACAAATGGTTCTCACGGGCAGAATCGATTCAGACTTGCTGCCTGGAGAGCTTGGAGAGAGAAAGCTGGAGACGAAATGGGGCTTAGGCACCGAACCAGGGACAAATGGAGCTTGTCCTGGTCTGTGCTGTAGACACTGGGAGTTCCTGGAGAGGAGTCACTGTCTCCCTCCTGGGCCTGGCCCTTATCCTTTCCCAGCCACTTCTCCAGTGGCTGTTGTCCCATCCCCTTCTCCCCTTGTTCCTCTGGTGTCTTCCTGGAACCCACAGTGGAGACAGCACCCCCCAGTCCATGGGGTAGATTGAGTTGGGAAATTCGAGGCGGATGACCTGTGCAAGGTCATCGGGGTGGGAAGAGCTGGGCCTACCTTGAATGCCTGTCTCAGGACCCCCTGGGTTTAGGACCTCAGGCCATGCCAGGGAGGTGGAGGTTATCCTGCAGAATCCTGGGCCCTGGACGCTGCCATTCACTCAGCCCGCAGCCCTTTACTGTCATCTCTCCTGCACTGAGAGCCAGGGAGAGCCCTGGACATGGGCCCTGCCCTCAGGGAGCTCCAAGCGAAGTGCCAAGTGGGAGAGACAGGCAGCACCAGACTGGTAACAGGAAGGCCCAGTGAGGTACCACTCATCTTGTGGGCTTGGGAAGGCTTCCTGAAAGAAGCGGTTTCTTTTTTTTTTTTGAGATGGAGTCTCACTCTGTAACCCAGGCTGGAGTACAGTGGCATGATCTTGGCTCACAGCAACCTCCGCCTCCCGGGTTCAAGCAATTCTCTTGCCTCAGCCTCCGGAGTAGCTGGGACTACAAGTGCCCGCCACTATGCCCAACTAATTTTTTGTATTTTTAGTAGAGACAGGGTTTCACCATGTTGGCCAGGCTGGTCTCGAACTCCTGACCTTGTGATTCACCCACGTTGGCCTCCCAAAGTGCTGGGATTATAGGCGTAAGCCACCGCGCCTAGCCAAGAAGTGGTTTCTAAAGAGCCCTAATGGGAGACAGGATGGCCATCGAGGATATAAGTTGCTCACTGAGGCCATCTGGAGAGTGGGGTGGGCGTGCCGAGGAATGTGGCTGGAGGCTGCCAGGTAGGCAGAGGTCGTATGTGAAAGGGCTTATGATTGGCTTCCAAGAGCTGTGCAGAGCCGTGGAAAGGTGTGTGTGTTTTAACTTTACTATGGAATATTGGAAACATAAACTAAAAGTAGATTAGTATAATAACCCTCAAGTGTCTATCACCCAGCTTCAGGTATTATCAGCTCATGGCCAATAGTGATCCATCTCTACCCACCAATTCCCCTCTGCATCCGATTATTTTGAAGCCAATTCCAGGCGTCCTGTCACTCTGGAAAGGTTTTAAGCCCCAGAGTGATGTGGACATAGCTCCTTGATCAGTATTTCTCAAACTTGAGTATGCGAAGAAAGCACCTGGGGAGTTTTTGAGAAGGAATCCATGCCCACTCCCAGAGATTCTGACTCAGGGGGTCTGGGCTGGGGTCAGGACATGGGCATTCCAGATAAGCGCCTGGGTGGTGCCATGCTGCCTGTGCCTGCACTGTAGCTGGGCAGTGCGGGGGATACACTCTCTGTGCTGTAGACACTGGGAGTTCCTGGAGAGGGGTCACTGTCTCCCTCCCAGCCTGGTCCCAGTCCTTCCCCAGCCCCTTCTCCAGTGGCTGTTGTCCCATCCCTGTCATCCAGGATTCAACTGTTTTTCTGAGTCTCAGCTTCCTCATCTGTGAAGTGGGAATTAGAAGCCCTTGTAGGGTTGCAGTGAAAACTGAGAAAGCGTGGTTTGAAGTGCCAAGCACCATGCATGGCACACAGAAGGTGGCCAAGGAGGGGTTCTCTCCTCTCTGAGAAGCGGTCAGGGTGGTATGGGGTGGAGGATGTGAGGGTGGAGGAGCCTGGCATGCCATGGCCTCACCTGGTACACCCCCCTGTTCCCACAGAAACACCTGGCTGGGCTGGGCCTGACTGAGGCCATTGACAAGAACAAGGCAGACTTGTCACGCATGTCAGGCAAGAAGGACCTGTACCTGGCCAGCGTGTTCCATGCCACTGCCTTTGAGTTGGACACAGATGGCAATCCCTTTGACCAAGACATCTACGGGCGTGAGGAGCTGCGCAACCCCAAGCTGTTCTACGCCGACCACCCCTTCATCTTCCTGGTGCGGGACACCCAGAGCGGCTCCCTGCTGTTCATTGGGCGCCTGGTCCGGCCTAAGGGTGACAAGATGCGAGACGAGTTGTAGGGCCTCAGGGTGCACACAGGATGGCAGGAAGCAGCCAAAGGCTCCTGAGACACATGGGTGCTATTGGGGTTGGGGGGAGGTGAGGTACCAGCCTTGGATACTCCATAGGGTGGGGGTGGAAAAACAGACCAGGGTTCCCGTGTGCCCGAGCGGACCTTCCCAGCTAGAATTCACTCTGCTTGGACATGCGCCCCAGATACTATGATGCTGAGCCCAGAAACTCCACATCCTGTGGGACCTGGGCCATAGTCATCTTGCCTGCCCCCAGAGTCCCAGATCAAGCCTGCCTCAATCAGCGTTCATATTTATAGCCAAGTACCTTCTCACCTGTGAGACCAAATTGAGCTAGGCGGGTCAGCCAGCCCTTTTCTCCTGACACTAAAACACCTCGGCCGCCTCCCCAGCTCTATCCCAACCTCTCCCAACTACAAAACTAGGTGCTGCAGCCCCTGGGACCAGACACCCCCAGAATGACCTGGCCCCAGCGAGGCGGATCGAGAAAGAGCTCACAGGAGGGGCTTCTGGGCAGACTCTGGTCAAGAAGCATCGTGTCCGGGGTCGTGGGGATGAACTTTTTGGTTTTGTTTCTTCCTTTTTCAGTTCTTCAAAGATGGGGAGGGAAGGGGGAACATGAGCCTTTGTTGCTATCGAACCAAGAACTTATTTGTACAATTTTTTTTTCAATAAAACTTTTCCAATGAAATTTTGTTGGAGTGTGGAAGAAGATTGGATCAGGAGATTCTCACACCATTCTTCCCAGGGCACAAGGTCTCCTGTTAAGGCAGGCTGGATACTGACGGTTCATATCAGGCCCTGGAATGCTGGCAGATCACTGTGCAGACAGTGCCCAGTGGCAGGTGCACTCCATGCTGATCTGGGAAATGGTTCTGGCTCTGGCAGCCCTGGAGAAGTGGCTACAGGCCCTGAATGAGAGCACTGGAGCTGGAGCCAGTCTTCAGCCCGAAGGGGTTTTTTATTTCTTTATTTCTTTATCCGTTTTTTTGTTTTTGTTTTTTGTGTGTGTGTGTGAGATGAAGTTTTGCTCTTATTGCCCAGGCTGAAGTGCGATGGTGCTATCTTGGCTCACCACAACCCCTGCCTCCCGGGTTCAAGCGATTCTCCTGCCTCAGCCTCCCAAGTAGCTGGGACTACAGGCATGTGCCACCACTCCTGGCTAATTTTGTATTTTTAGTAGAGATGGGGTTTCTCCATGTTGGTCAGGCTGGTCTTGAACTCCCGACCTCAGGTGATCTGCCCACCTCAGCCTCCCAGAGTGCTGGGATTACAAGCGTGAGCCACCGTGCCCGGCTCTTTACCCTTATTTTAGAGGTGGGTCTTGCTATGTTGCCCAGACTGGAATCAGGCTCTTGGGCTCAAGCGAACCTCCTGCCTCAGCCTCCCGAGTAGCTGGGACTACAGGGAGGACTGTGGGTATGAGCCAGGACTATGCCCAGCTTCCCTAGCCTTTCATTCTAAGCTAACTTATGCCACATCCAAAGCCACAGGTACAAATTCAGGCACACATTTAGTAAGTTGCCTGGCTTTAGGCTGGACTTTGGAAGGAAGGAGCTTGTGGGGATCCTTGCCCTTAGGTGGCCCAAAGTGTTGGATCTATAGCAGGGGAGGAGGCCCCCAACACAGTCCTCCATTTGGATGCCTCATGGTCCTTAGGGCTCCTGACACCATACCTCAGGGAGGGAGAGGATGGGGCCAGGGGCCAGGGAGGTGGAGGAGCAAAGGATACTGGGCTAGAGCCCTGTCTCTGTTGCCTGCTGCCACCTAACCTTGCGCAGGTCATTTTTCTCTCTGGGCACTTCCAGCTTTCTTCTGCCAAAGATTGTTACCTGGGGTTGTTGGTTCAGGGAGGGACCCCTTACCTGGCTGAGCAATCCAACAGTAGCCACCAAGAGGTACATAAGTCCACAGAAGGGACAGCTGATTTACTCCTGTCATTGCCAGGACAGAGTTTCAGCAAGACTGCTGAGTCCCAGGACCTTTGTATGCTGTGGCTCAATCATTTAGCTCTCTCTCCTCAAGTGGGTTCATCTAGAGGTGGAGACTTAGGGACAGGGACCAGGGTGCTCAGTGCTCACTGTGTTCCAGGCACCTGGATCATTTTGTTCCAGGTGTGTTATGCCTGTCCCCCTGCCCCAGGGCCTTTGCACTAGCTGTCCTTTCTGCCTGACAGGCAGTTCTAGATGTTTGCAGGGTTGCTATTTGTTATCCAGGATTCAGCTTAAATGTCTGCTCAGAGAGGCCTTCCCTGACTACCCCACATAAACAATCCCTCTACCACCTCAGTTTCTCTACCTTGTTTCCTCACTTTACTGATGCCTTAGCACTATGAAATGACCCACTTACGACTTCCCTGCCTGCCTCCCCTCCTGGAATGGAAGCTCCATGAAGATAGGGTCTGTGGCTGTCTATCGCTATAAGTCCTGCACCTAGATTTAGCGTCATGCATATACAAGGCATTAAAACATTTGCTGAGTGAAAGGGCCGTTCTAGAAGGGCCTTTTCCGGGGCTTTGGGAGTCCAGAGGAGGAAGCCATGACTGCCTAGGCAGGCGAAGAAAGGTTCCCAGGAGGAGGTGGCATGTGGGCTGCCTTAAAGGGGAAGTAGGCATTTCTGGATCAGAATGATGCTTTTAGTGAAACCAGCTGGTACTCCTTTGTGTTTTGCTCCTCCTGTGTTACAAGTACTTGATATGTACAATTTTATCCAAGCTTCCTCACAGCTTGGCTAGGTAGGGATCATCCCATTTTACAGGTGAGATAACAGGCTGAGAGGTTAAGTGAGCTGCCTGAGGCCCCACAGTCAGTGCGGGCAGAGCTGGGACTTGATCCTAATCGGTTGGGTAGTTGCTTCACTGCAGAGGAAGGGCAGGAGAGGCCTCCTGGAACCCAGGCCACCTGGCCCCGAAGTTCAGCCTGTGACAGCTCCCACACCAAGTGGGAATGGGCAGTGATAAGCCAGGCCTGGGTGTGGGGGCCACCAAGGGAACTACCCAAAGGGGGCCTTGAGGCCACACTCCTCCCTCCCGACTCAGGTGAGGCGGGGGATAAGAGGTCTGTGCTGTTGCATCTCAAACACCCCCGTCAGTGAGGACTGGGGTTGCTGGTGTGGGAGCAGCAGTGCAAGTGGCAGAGGTGGGTGACTTAGGGGTGGGGTGGGGGCTAGAGGTTGGGCAAGCCAGTGTTGCTGCCCTGTGGCCCATCACAGCCCTGTGTGGAGCTTTCCTGCCACCTGGAGGCCATTGGAGGGATCACCCTGTCATTCTCACCTTGGTGCTTCTTAAAGACTTGAGAAATAACAAGCCTGTTGGATTGTGTGGGTCCCAGATGTGGATGCAAGTGGGGAGATGCGGATTTGCCTTCTCCTGAGTGCCTACTGTGTGCCCGGCACTGCCATGTATGATTTCATTTAATTTTCTTTCCTTCTTTCTTTCTTTCT